ACCATGGAATATTATTCATCAGTAAAAAGTGATGAACTATTGACACATGGAACAACTTGGCTGGATCTCAAGAGCATTATGTTGAGCGGAAAAGCTAATCTCAAAAGATTACATACTATATGATTCTCAAAATTATATTCTCAAAATGACAAAGTTACAGAGAAGAAAAATACATTAATAATTGCCGGATATTAGAGATGATGGGGGTATGGGAGAAGGAAGAGAATATGACTAGAAAGGGCTAGTTGTTGATTAGGGTGGTGGTTACATGAATATACATGTGATAAAATGGTACAGAGTATCAATCAATACTTTGCATTAATGTCAGTATCCTGGTTTTGATGTTATACTACAGTTGTATAAGATGTGACCAATGAGGGGAAACTGAGAAGAAGGTACATGAGATCTTTCTGTACTATCTTTGTAACTACCTATGACGCTAATTATTTCAAAATAAAATCTTAAATAGAAAAGCAGGCCAGGCATGGTGGCTCACCCCTGTAATCCTAGCACTCCGGGAGGCCGAGGCGGGCAGATTGCTCCAGGTCAGGAGTTGGAAACCAGCCTGAGCAAGACCCCGTCTCTACCAAAAATAGAAAGAAATTAACTGACCAACTAAAAATATATATACAAAAAATTAGCCAGGCATGGTGGCGCATGCCTGTAGTCCCAGCTACTCGGGAGGCTGAGGCAGTAGGACTGCTTGAGCCCAGGAGTTTGAGGTTGCTGTGAACTAGGCTGATGCCACGGCACTCACTCTAGCCTGGGCAACAAAGTGAGACTCTGTCTCAAAAAATAGGTACTTGTGGTTTGGGTTAAAATTTCTAGTGACAGCATTGTACATGGATTCAAAAGAACTGTATCTCATTATATATGGAAATAAAGATGATATAGTCTGGATAGCTATGTTGATCTCTCAAAAAGTAATTTTAGTAATGACAAAGACACTCTTGTAAGAAATGCTGTTAAAGACTTTTAATAAATTTAAATTTCTTTAAGAAGTATGAGAGTGGAAAAGAGCAATATAGTATTTCTAAACTCATCCATTAATTTACCAAATGTTTACTGAGCTCCTACCATATACCTGGCCTTCTTCTAGGCTGTGGAGTTATAGCTATAAACAAGATACACAAAAACATATGCGTGCATGGAGCTTATAAATAAATATATTAATTTATATAAAGTATAATATTAAATAGGTACTCATTTCTAAATTAATAGGTAAAATGTGGTTAAAATTTGACTAATCTATAGCCGTAAACGATTATCTACTCAATTGGATAAAAAATTTTTTAAATCATTTCAGTGGGAAAACTAAGAGTACATTATATTTATACATACATAGCATTATCTGAAATATTAAGGGAATTGTAAGTCTATATTGATCTTTATGATTTTAAAAATTCATACTTCCATTATTAAAATACCTGGAATAAAATACTGTATTCTTTAGATATTCTTCGTCTGCATACAAGCTCTTTTGGAACTAGGGCTCCTATTAGGTTTTATTTTATTTTATTTTTTTGAGACAGTGTCTCACTCTGTTGCCCAGGATAGAGTGCCATGGCATCAGTGTAGTTCACAGCAACCTCAAACTCCTAGGCTCAAGCGATCCTTCTGCCTCAGCCTCCCAAGTAGCTGGGACTACAGGCATGCGCCACCATGCATGGCTAATTTTTTCTATATAATTTTAGTTGGCCAATTAATTTCTTTCTATTTTTAATAGAGACCAGGTCTTGCTCTTGCTCAGGCTGGTTTCGAACTCCTGACCTTGAGGGATCTGTCCGCCTCAGCCTCTCACAGTGCTAGGATTACAGACGTGAGCCACCATGCCAGGCCTCCTGTTAGGTTTTATAATATAATGTGGCTCATAGTTAAGGTACAGAGTTTCCAACAGGTCATGTTTCCAAATACACTGGTGCTAGTGACTGGTTAGATGCCTTTTCATGAGTTATCTCAGACAGGATCTCCATCCATGAGCACAGTATATTACCAAAGGCAAATGTTCTAACCTAAATTGGAGCTACTCTTCCCCAGTCTCCTGTTTCCCCTTCCCTACTAACCCTTGAAATCAACTTACAAACAAGCACCAGCATCTTCTTTCTTCATGATTTGAGTTTTCTAGAAAACCAGTCTTCCTTTATCTTAAGGAAGGTGAATATTTTCTCATCCTGCCACACTAAACAGGCACATTCTGCCCTCACCTGCCCCTCACTTTCTTGTAACTCCTTCCCCCAACTGGGTGTCACCTTGCCACTCCTATTCAGGTCCGTCGCTGGGGCATGCAACAGGGTCCATGATACGAGAAGAAAAACATAACTAAATGTCAGGAAATATTATTTCTGCAGATAAAAAGGAAGTACTTGGGCAGCATAGGTTTGATTATTTGATTTTGTTTTAAAATCATATAAGGTACAGAGAAAAGGGTAAGGGAAATATTAAGTTTTACTTCTACCCTTTCTTCTCCTTTTGTCTACTCAGATTATGATCTTTACAAACTTATTTCTTTATAAAGTAAGTCAAACATTTTTTTCCATTCATGATATGGGCTATCTCAGTACTTAGAATTCAATTGTATTTACTTAGACTAAAATTTATACAATTAGGGACTATATAAAGATATCATTAACCCTCAAAAAGCCTAATATTTATAAATAGTCAAGATATTTAACCCTAAGCCATAAAACTGATAATAAGTGCCCAAAATTTCCCAAATAGATCTCAGCAAATTTATTGCATGAAGACTTCCCAGAAGGACATTTATTTTAAGGAACTACCCTTTTCACACTTTTGTCCCCACTAAAACACCATTTTAATAAGACCACCACACCCTACTCAAAGTAGTTCTCATGTAGCCCTCAGAGACTATTGCACAGTCCAAGCAGTAAAACAGACAGACATGAGGGCAGATTAGCAATTAGGTCATGAAAAACAGGCAGCATAAAATAGCTATTGCTAATCTACATGAGATGCATTTAGTCAATTAAGTAGATGGAAATGTTATTATGAACTCAGTATTCCAATGATGGCCTTTAAAATTAAGAAGGATAGGCGCAAATGAAATGCACACTGGGGGATTTGGGGCCTTTATGTATTAATTCTAAAGTATACAATGCAGAACACTGTAATGAAGTTAACAAATTTAATTAAAAGATTCTTTGCATGTAACCATTAGAGATTACATTAAAAAATACATGACAATTTCTGACATTGTTAATAGTGAATGTGACTGTTCTTTAACATTCTTAATGTTGATACCGTCACCTTTTCTAAAAATATCACTGAAATTAAAAAAATGAGAAACAACAGTCTATTACTCAGGGCCTGGTATGTACATCATTTTTAATATTCTTTCTGGTATTTATTTATTTCATTCTGAGTTTCAATAACTGATAAGCTAGTGATCAAGTTTCAAACATTTTGGAAGACTATTATACATTTTTACTTTTAGACATTTATATAATCTTTTTTATTAGACAATAACAAAATAAAAAGATAATTATTAAATCTGTTTGAGAATTTTTATCAAACTCTTGGGCAGAACAAAAGACTTTGACCAGTTTTGGAAAAACAGTTACAAACTTCAAAAGGAGCTTTTGCTTGTGATAAATACTTCATGTTTAACTCCTATTTTCAAAAGGGTAGTAACAAATATTTAATCCATTATTAATGCTATTAGAGACTTCTAACACATATACCAAAATTATAGCAATTAAGTGGTTCATTGTAGAAACTACATAAAAATGATAAGCTGTGTCCATGAGAGCAATGATATGCATGCAGTGCATTTGTTTTATATCTACAAGTAAATTCTGGGTGTTTGATATTTTTTTCTTTTCTTATAAATGTAGTTTCTTTTTCTTGTTACCATCTGAAGAAGTTTATAAAATGTTTACATATCAATTTTACTAAAAATAACAATTATATAAAAATTGCATTTAGAGTTTCATTTGCCTACCCCTACTTTCTAACACACATATCAGTCAACCTTACCATGTAACCCTTTAACACCCTAACTCTTCCTTCTTAACAGAATTCTGCTTTAAACAATTATATAGTTTGACCTGAATATTATTTTATATTTGTGATTGTTGAAACTTTTTGAATTAAATTATGTGCTCCTTGAGATCGTCTTCTATTATGGATAGATGCTCAGTTGATGCTCATTAATATCCACGGAATTACATTAATTCATATATTCATTCATTTGTCCATTTATTAAACATTTAGTATGTGTCAGGACACTGTTCTATGCTACAGACACAAAGATGAAAAAGAAACAGTCTCTGTTCTTAAGCTGCCCAGACACCTGAAGGATTGTGGTGGACAGAAAAATAGCCCCCTAAAAATAAAAATACTCTAACCCCTAAAACCTGGGGTAACATAGTAGTGAACAAAATAGATAAAACTCCTATCCTCATGGAGCTTACATTCTACTGGGAGAAACCAGATGGTAAACAAAATAAATAAATTAATTAATATTAAATTAGTATTAAATGTGCTGAATAGAGAAATGTAAAGAGATAGTGTGGGAAAGCTATAGATAAGGCAAAATTAGACGAAAAATCTAGAACTGAGAAATTGCCTTCTTTAACCATATGTTCAACTTTTCCTAAAATCAGCAAGAACTATCTTTTGTGTTCAATGGAAGATTTCTTTTTAACATATTGATAATTTATTCAAGCTTATTCATATAACAATATTACAAATGAAACAAAGACATTCAAAACAAAAATCACTGATATTTTCAGGATTCCCAATTACTACTGTTAAAATATACAGAAAGTTTGGTGATTATTTGGTCAGACTCAATACTAAATATTAATTAATACTAATATAGTACTTTCCATGTGTAACACATTAAGTACAATAGACTGTCAGGGAGTAGCGAAGAAAGCATGGAAAATTGAATTAGTGATGAATTTAAAGGAAAAATCCAAATTTAAATAACTAGTTTTACATGATATTGTTAATCCAGTAAAACAATGTTTAAAACTCACTTTGAAGTGTTTCGAGTTCAGTTTTAATAAGTGCTTCTTCCTTTTCCTTCAATCTTGTTTCCTTATATTTAGCATAAAAGTGCCCAGCATCCTTAAAAAGAAATTATAAATCAACATAAAAATCGGTTTGCTTTGACAGTAGTTTCCATTCAATTCATTTTAAAGCAGTATATTCATTTTACAAGTAGGCTTTTAGTTTGTTTTCAAGTTGTATGACAAACAGAAGAAATCAATAACAAGTCTCTATGATTTTTCTCTCCTGGAGAGCAGGTTACGGCCAGAAACTGCATGAGTATAAATTTAAACTCTTTCTCTCAGATATAGAAAGGAGGTATCATCTTCCTGTTTTCTTCCATTGTATGATATTTTCTCAATGTTATACTATTGCATGGACAGAAACCAGAAAAACTCACTTGCTAAACTGAAGATTTGCCATGGTAAATTATATTACTGTGACTAATAAAGTACTAGTGCTATTTTCATATCAGTCTCTTAACTCCAATAGATTTTCAAAATTATTGCATGTAAACCTGATCAGAAAACTTATATGACCACGTAGATAAAAGCAGAAGTGGTCATTCCTTCTGTTACCCTTGGAAACCAGTAAAAAACAATTATCACAGAGGGTTGAGGATTGAGGACACATACTGTATACAAATACTTAGGTGTCAAGATACGGTGGCTAAAGTCTCAATGAGTGGCACATAGATAAGACTTTGGGTAAGACTTCAGGCAAGGTACCAAAAAACAAAGAAAGAAAAAAAGACTAAGTCTTAAATAATCACAGACATAAAAATAAACAAGTTGATATTCTAGGCATATGATGATCCAGACAATGAAAAAAAAAAAAGCAAAACAGATCTTTTCCCACACTCTTTGACTTCCTTGACTCAAACTTCATATATTCTACAGCAAAATCACTTATAGCTGTCACGTCACACTGTGCTTCCATGTCTTTGCATTTGCTTTGCCCTCTAGCCAGAATATTTTATTCCTTTGCCCATTACAAACGAACTCCTATTCATCCCTGAAAACCCTGTTCAAGCACTATCACCTCTGCAAGTCTTTCTGACCTTCTCCAGCTGGGTAATTCTCTCTGGTATACTACTTCTGTACTTTAACACCCTGTGATTGCTTGTATCATGATATATTCTCTCCAAAGATGAAAAATTTGAAATAGGGATACTTGTATTACCAGAGCGTGGTAGCTGGTATAAAGCAGGCACTCAATAAGTGTTTATTGAACTGAACTAGATTGAAATAAATGAGAAAGTTTACAAAGCAAGAAATGAAAGGGCTTGATGACTGACTGATGTGGAATACGAAAAAGAGGAATATCAAGGATAACCCTAGGGTAACATGCCCAGACTGTAAGATTCCTACAGCAGATAAATCATAGACCCAAATGAGGGGGGTTTGTTTCTGCAGGAAATAAAGGAACAAAATCAATCTTTGACACTACCTTGATCCAGATGTACACATGAACACTTAAGCCCTAGAATGGAATTATCTCTGTTTATCTATGACTGTATCCAAGTTAAAGTTTTCTCCTGGGGTCTATGTGTCTTGGGGTTATATCACAACTCTTTTAATTTACAAGAATTAGGAAAATAATAAGATATTCCTAAAATTATTGTATCAGTATAATAAAGATGTATTTTCTTATTCTTTTTTTTTTTTTTTTTGTGAGACAGAGTCTCGCTTCGCTGCCCAGGCTAGAGTGAGTGCCGTGGCGTCAGCCTAGCTCACAGCAACCTCAAACTCCTGGGCTCAAGCAATCCTGCTGCCTCAGCCTCCCGAGTAGCTGGGACTACAGGCATGCGCCTCCATGCCTGGCTGATTTTTTCTATATATATTAGTTGGCCAATTAATTTCTTGCTATTTATAGTAGAGACGGGGTCTCACTCTTGCTCAGGCTGGTTTCGAACTCCTGACCACGAGCAATCCGCCCGCCTCGGCCTCCCAGAGTGCTAGGATTACAGGCGTGAGCCACTGCGCCCGGCTATTTTCTTATTCTTATATCTTATTCTTTCCATCACCACTTTTATGTTCCTACCTCATTTCTACTAGAAGGATTCCCATAAACCCTAGGCCAGCTAAATAATGGTATAATTTGAAGAGCACAGATGGTCCTGCACCCAATTTACTCATCCTCCCATGCCCATATATAGTTTAAATGTCTACAGGGTTTGGGGTTAAGGTTTTATGGCCCCTTAACATTCCCTATTCCCCTTAAAAAAAACCCTCAATCCTGAAGTAGTAGTATTTTATATTAAGCCATGTGAGTCATTTATACCTTGGTGTGAATGAATAAATGAACTTATTAGCTTCTTTCCACAGAGTAGGTTTTAATAGTAGGGAAGAAGAAAAGGTCAGGAAGGCATTGGCTCCTTTAGGGGGGTAGAAAATGTGGCACCATGCAAGAAAAGAAGGGCACAGATTATGTACTTATGAGAGGTGAAAGGGCTGAAATCAATCATCATAGTATATAGTGCGGTGAGATATAATATAGTGATTAAAAGGACAGATTTTGAAGCCACACTACCTGGAATAAGATCTCAGCTCTGGCCGGGCGCGGTGGCTCACGCCTGTAATCCTAGCACTCTGGGAGGCTGAGGCGGGTGGATTGCTCGAGGTCAGGAGTTCAAAACCAGCCTGAGCAAGAGCAAGACCCTGTCTCTACTATAAATAGAAAGAAATTAATTGGCCAACTAACATATATAGAAAAAATGAGCTGGGCATGGTGGCGCATGCCTGTAGTCCCAGCTACTTGGGAGGCTGAGGCAGCAGGATTGCTTGAGCCCAGGAGTTTGAGGTTGCTGTGAGCTAGGCTGACACCACAGCACTCTAGCCCGGGCAACAGAGCAAGACTCCGTCTCAAAAAAAAAAAAAAGATCTCAGCTCTGCCATCTTACTAGATACATGCCATTCAGCAAATTACTTCACTTCTCTATGGGGCAGTTTTCTCATCCATAAAATGGTTAATAAAAATACCTAACTCACAGAACTGTTGTGAAGATTAAATGAGTTAACATTTAGGAAACACTTAAAATGACATCTTATATGTAGCTAGGCCTTGTATGTGTTAGCTATTTTTATTATTACTTCATCATTTTGACAAGAATCTTGTTTTTCACCACAAAGCAAGGGTAAGGTTTTATGCTTCATACTTCACCAAAACTCCTCCTGCCAAATCCTGCATCTTCTTGCTTATGTGATTCCCTTTATCTGCATCCTTCTCACCTCAACACAAAGTTCTTTGGCTGAGTAATAGCAACGTCTTCCTAGTAGTCCTGTCAACTTAGAACATTTCTCTACTGTTTCTTCTTCTTGCTACAGCACATAATTCCACTAAAACTTTCTCTTTGAAATACTCATTTGATCCAAAAACACACTTTTCTGGGGACTGAAATCAAACCCATCACCTTAACATACTATATACACCAAATCCAAGAATTTGAATATATTCCTTAGTCTCACTCACTGTTTTATCTTCCTTTTGTTCCATTCCTAAGCATGTATTTAAAAGTTCCTCATGCTTTCTCTTTTCTTCACATCTTACTTGTACTTTGAAATTACAATAATCACACTCTGGAAGATTACTTCCTCGATAAGCCTATGATATCAAATAAACCTACTGTACTTTACTGAACAATTTTTAACCATCCTTGTGTCTAGTTTTGGGTACCATACTTTAAGATGTGCAGGAAGACTTTAAAAGGAAAGTGATCAAATGGTGAGGCAGCTTGAAACTATATCTTATAACAGATTGAAGATGAGAAAATTAGGGATAACCATCATAGAATATCTTAAGGGTTATTACAGGAAAGAATGGTAATATTACTATATATGGTTTCAGAGATAAAAGATTGATTTTAGATACATATAAGGGAGAGATTTCTAATAGTTAAAATTACCTGAAATTGAAAATAGATTGTCTTTGGAGGAAGTATGTATTCAAGGAGAAACCAGGTGGCTATTCTTTAAGGTACATTCTAGAGGGAATTCATGCAATCAAAAGGGGCTGAACAAGATCAATTGTTTTCAACCTTTTATCCCTTTTTTGTTTGTTTGTTTGTTTTTGGGGGGGATTTGTTTGTTTGTTTGTTTGGTCTCACCCAGGCTACAGGGCAGTGGCATCATCATACCTCACCGCAACTTCCAACTCCTGGGCTCAAGTAATCCTCCTGCTTCAGTCCCAAGTAGCTGGTACGGAGGGCATGCGCCACCACTACGCCTGGCTAATTTTACTATTTTTAGTAGATACAGGATCTTGTTCTTGCTCAGGCTGATCCCGAACTCCCAGTCTCAAGGGATCCTACTGCCACTGTCTCCCAGAGAGCTAGGATTACAGGCCTAAGCCACTGTGCCTGGCCCCTCCCATTTTTATGAGGTGCTAATTCAAGTGAATATAATTGTTGAGTAAATAAGCACAAGAATTCATTCCAGAATAAACCCAGGTTTACCTACACAGATAATTTCAGATTTCCTATCGATTTAAACTCCTTATCCATCCCTGTAGCCCTAGTGCACTGCTTGGCACGTTATGGAAGCTTAACAAATATTTAAGGAATAAATGAATGCTTACTTTAATTGATCAGGGCTTTTGGACTGCCTGCTCCATAATACTGTATTAAAATTATGGAGTTTACATTCTTCCTAACAGAAAGAGTTCCTATTCTCAAGGAGTTTATAATTCTTATGGATGAAACCATGAGCAAAGTTTTTACTCTAGAAGCAACTCTCTTAATACTTAACAAAATTTCTTGAAGAGCTCAAAGCTTGCCTTCATAGACATCAAACAGAGGACTGGTTTTTACATTTAAAATTATGGCTAACTTAAAGAATTTGTGCTGTGAGTGTTCGTTGTATGCAGCTATAGAGCACAGACTCTTGCACAAGAAGCCATTAAACAGTGATGTTTATGCTTATTTATTGAACCACTACTAAATGTGTTGTACTTTGTTAAGATATGTGGGGATTACATGATAAGATATAATAGCTGTCCTTAAAGAATATGTAAAAATAACTATAAATATTAAGAAAATATGGAATATAGAATATAGGCACTAGGAAAACAGGAATTTTCAT